CTGGGCAAGTTATTTAACCTCTGTTTGCTACAGTTTCCTCATCTGTCAAATAGGGATAATAATAGCACCGACCTCCAATGGTTGTTGTGAAGACTAAATGAAATAATCGTAAAGCATTTACTTCAGTGTCTGGCACATAGAAAACACTATGTAAATGTTAGCCATTATTATTATATTTTTATTGCTCATTTGCAAGTTTTCTGCTTCAGAGATCATAGTGTTCTATGATTCCAAGCCATATACCATCACTAGGGATATTGGTGTTAAAAAGGGATTTTGCAGTAGAATCAATGAAAGTGCAGTGACACTCCCCTAATACCTTTGTAATTCTGGGCCCAGTTTACTGTCCACAACCATACCTAAGACATTTATCACTTGCAGTAACTGGGGATTGTTAGCCTAGAGGCAAGATTTCAGGAGTGGGGTGAGGAGGGAAGGGGAATGTTACTTGTCTTCAAGTCTGCTGAGGGCTGGAGCAAAGACTTGATTTGTTTTGCTTGGTCCCAGAGGATAGAAAAATGGGCAGAAGATGCATATTGTGTTTGATATCAGGAAAAACTTCTTAACAATTCAATTATTCAAGAGGGGAATGGATTGCATGGAGGAGTGGGGGGTGGTTGCCCCTCCCATGGCTTCAAACAGAAAATGACCACTTACCAAATATATTAGAGTGGGCAGTTCCTTCATGTCTGGGCTGAACTAGACAGCCCCTGAAGATCTATTGAACTCTTAAACTTGAAGATATTTTTACTAACGAACCTCAATCAGCTTCCAGTCTAACTTCAAATTAATATTGGGCAATACTTATTACAGTGAGCTATGAAATAAGGAAAAATATAAGGCAGCAAAATTTAGTAGCAGTCTAAGTATTGTTGAATTAATAATTGCATGCAAATTTCTTTTTATTTCAAAGGGAAATAGTCTGTTACCTTCAAAGCAATCATGGGATCATCATTCTTTTGGTGACTGACCGTAAGTAAACAAAGCTGACTCAGTTCTCTCTCCCCTGTGTTTTCATTAAGCACTTTGTATCTTACTGAATGAGTACACTTCCACCAAGTACACATGCTTTTATGGAAGGAAAAAAAAAAACACTGTGGTAAAATGTGATGAAATGATCCTGATTGGCTGTACTGTCAAAATGCACCCTGATTTTTGAATTCCTGCCAAACATATTTGCCTTCACAGTATTATCCTTGAAATGTCCTTGATCAATGAGATGAGATACATCTTTTAAATTGCAGCCTACTCAATTGCCTAATGTCTTTGAACTCAGTGGGATGGATTGATCATGATAGAGCAGCTCCAAGCATGTGCCCCATTATTTCCTAAGATGATTATTATCTGCAAATTAACTGAAATAATGATTAGTTTCTGATTGGTTGCTACCCATTGTTCATGTAGATATTCAAGATGGCATTTGACCCTTGCTTGGAAAATTCAAATGACAGGCAGCAGGTAGAACTTTAAAAACTACTCAAAGACCTGCTAGATTAAAATAAAAATGCCAAATGTTTGGAGGCTCTCTCTCTGTGTTGCAAATGCCATTAGGCACTGGGTTGTCAGATGTTGATGTAAGTGGTTCTTACTGGGGTTTGTTGGTGGTTGGGAATTTAGTCATTCTCAATAGGGCCATGCCAACACCATCACACTTGCCATAAACTAATGGAAACATATGTCCTGAATTTTTAATATGACTATTTTACAGAGGATAGTGGGGGGTAATGTGGCACAGTGGATAACCTTGGAGGCTAGAAGCCTTGGATTCAACTCTAGTCACTGACACAAACTATTTGTGTGAATATGGGCAAGTCGTTTCATGTCAGGCCATTTCATATCTCACTCCAGACAGCTCTCTAAGGTTAAGTTACAGAGCAATTGTTGATCTGCATTCGTAGAGGGAGTATCCATATTGGGAGTTCCCTAACCAGTGAAATTACAGATTTGGCTCAACAATACTTAGGGTAAAAAAAAATCACTAATAATTACTACTATTTTCCATTCATGCTTTTTAATTTATAAGGAATTTTAGAAATTAATAAATTCCCTCAAGCAGAATAAAAGTCCATAGAAATAGGGATTATTACTCATTATTCTTTTTAAACCCAGTTTCCTAGCTCAATGCTTGGCATATAATAGGCATTTTAATGTTTGTTGAATTGAATTGACTCAAGCCTTGAAAAAGTCACAACTGTACTCAATTTGTTTGCCTAGGGTTTATTAATGGTTCAGTTTGCAAAAATGGTTTCCAAATTGTTCTTTATCAGTCTGAGAACTTAATGATGAGCATACCTAATGTATAATACTTCCATGAACAGATGACCAAAAGCCCATCAAGAACTAGAATGAAATTGGGATGAACATCTCCAAAACGTCACCATTTGTACAAAGAGGGCAATGCAAAGTTTCCTTTCCATTGCCTTCCTGAGATTTGCTCTGAATACAACTTGCCTGTGCTTTTTTTTTTGTTTGTTGAAGCAATCAGGGTTAAGTGGCTTGCCCAGAGTCACACAGCTAGTAAGTGTTATGTGTCTGAGGACAGATTTGAACTCAGGTCCTCCTGACTCGAGAGCTGGTGCTCTATTCACTGTGCCACCTAGCTACCTCTTGCCTGTGCTTTTGAGGGAGGAAATAAGCATTTATTAAGTGCCTACAACGTGCCAGGCACTGTGCTAAGTGCATTACAAATATCTCATTTGGTCTTCACAGCAATGAGGGGCCAGGTGCCATTATTATCTCCATTTTACAGATGAAGAACCCAAGGCAGACAGATTAAATAAGTTGCCCAGCTAGAAAGTATATTAATCTGAACTCAGTATATTAATCTTCCTGACTCCAGGCCCAGCCCTCTATCCACTGTGCAACCTACTTACTTCTGAGAACAAAGCCACTACAAAACACATAACTTATGGCCTCAAAGCACTACTTGCCAAGAGGCAGCATCTTGTGTGGGCAAGAAGATCGACTTGCAGTCAGGAATATAAGGGTTTGAATTCTGCCTCAGACACTTACTCAACTTCTCTCAGCCTCAGTTTCCTCATTGGTAAAATGGGGATAATACAACCTGTAGTATGTATCTCATTTTTCAAAAAGATTCAGTAAGATAATGTCAGTAAAGCACTTTGCGAGACATCAGTTATTATTAATGTTCTTACATGAGAGATCTGTTCCTCTCTGAAAAAGTAAAAAAAAAATGTTGGCTAAAACTTGTTCTGGGTCAACAGAGAAAAAAAAAGAAATTATTCCAGTTGTTTCTTTATCTATAAAATATGGGGGTTGGATTAGACAGCCTATATGGACCCTTCTAGCTTCCTACAATGTTATGAACTACATTTTTAAAAAGTCCTTTTATCAGTCCTATTTCAAATTCAAGTAGGACTCACAACAGAAAAAATAACTTATAGAAAAGTTAGGATCTCTATATTAGATTCACAGTCCCCTCTCCCTATTTTTAGAAGAGTAGAGAGTGAAAGGACTCATGGGTTTATGAGAAATGATATACGGGAGTCCTGTATTTTCTTTGTCGGTTTCTGAAAAAGTATATTTGAAAGACAAAACCTCATAGGGCCTAATTACAAGTGGGCCTACACCATAATATTTACTTTTCCAATTATGTTCATCAAACTGTTACACTAGAAGGAGCACTCAATTTTCAGTGAGAGGAACAGGATTCAAATCCTGCCTTGGACACTTTGGGCAAGTCATATCCTTTCTGGGCTTCAGTTTTCTCAGGACTAGAGAACCTTTAAAGTCTCTTCCAGCTATAAATCTCAGATCATGTTTCCTTTTTTTTTCTTTTGGTGAGTCATAGGGTATAGAGATGGGGAGGATTCCATTTGTAAACAAAGTATTTACAGCACCATATTTTTTTAATACCTACGCAACAAATAAATGTCCATGTCTACCGTCCTATTTCCTCCAACTTAGGAGTGATTGGGTCCAATGATGGCAGAAAGAATAACACCTAAGGGAACTGAAATATCTCCTAAAACAGAAATGTGAAAACTGCAGATAATTTCAGTGTTAACAGTGTTAGATTTCTTCAAATAAAAATGAAATAATGCCTTCTCTGTAAAAACATATAAATATTTACTACTGAGGAGTCATGTGAAAGACTTGCAAGAGATGTCAGAAATAGAGGCTCAAGACAAGAAAAAACCCAATCCTGTCAGGTAAGTGTGAAATAAGCAAAGAAGTAAGAAGCTATTTTGGGAGTTGGGGTGAAACTCTTCTAGATCGGCAGGAAAATGTTGCTATAGCTACAATTAAAAGCACTGATGCTCAGAATAATGGGAATTGGGTAGAAATTCACCACAGCAGAGTTTAATCCAGACTGCTTCCAATAACTATGGTTCCTAAAGATACTATGGGGGTGGGAGATAAAAAGGATAAAGAGAAAACACCACCAAGAATGGCTGCACCAGGAGCAATTTATTAGCATAACACTTTTTTTTTTAAGATTTCATAACAACTGAAGTATGTACAAAGTCTTACAGCATTTACACCATAAAAAAAAGTTTCTTATTAGCTGATGAAGTATATAAGGTAGGGATGCAATGTACTTCAAAGCATGAATATGATAATGATGAAGCAGGCCACTGTACTTTCAACTTTTTTGCTACCACACCACAACTGTCTGCTGAATGACAGTTCATGAAATCATTGGGAAGACATCGATTGTCTTGAAAGGGGTTTGGGGGTGAGAAGCAACAGGTCAATGTGTTGCACTAACAACCATAAGAAGAAGGAAAAAGAAAAAGAGAAACTACATACTGTTGTATTTCTACAGTTTCTAGAGCTGTAACAGATGTTCACAGCCTGAGATATAACATATGCAAGACAACAGAATCACGCCTTGTCAGATATAGTTCAGCTACTGAAGATCTTTACTTTTGAATAGGAGGCTTTCTGCTAATATGGCTGTGTGTTTCCATTTTTTTTTCATGAACTCTTCAAATAGGTCTAACCCCACAAGCCCACCCGTCCCCTCAAGAAAAGAAAAAAAGAAAAAAAGAAAAAAAAGAAAACTTGGAAGAATGTATTTGATAATTTTTCAAAAGGGAGAAAAACAAGGCATTTAGTATCAGCTTTAGGGTCCAGTCATTCCTGTCAAAAGTTTAAGACTGGGAATCTTTGAATGATCCACAAAACATCGCTCCAACCCTCTGCTTCCTCACATCAAATATCACTCACACCACCACCTCCTATTTTTCCTTGGGATCAGGCTACGTAGACCCAGAGGTATTTCTATACCGACTCAAATTCAAGGTTTGGCTAAATTATTTCACTTAAAAGAAATGCTTAATAGTTTGTGTCTCCAGACTACAGCTTCAGGATGTTGCATGAAAATTTCAGGCAGAAAGTGATAAGTATTTTATTTCCCATTCTATTCCTCTAGAAACTTAGATCTCTTCAACTTTGCTTAGGCCAATGCCATCATTTTTGAGATGAAATCCACTTTCCCCCCCCATTCTTACTCTTTAACTTGTAGGCTAAGTGGGCATTATTTAAAAAAATAATTACTTAAAAAAATTACATTCCCAACTCAAAAGCCAGTAATGAAGGTTGACAAATTTTAATTAAGACACATAAAGGTGGGCTATAAAAACACAACTACATAAATATTGAAGAAGTCATTATTCCATTTTCATGTAAACAGTTCTGATTAGAGAATGAAGCCCTAACTAGATTCTAGTCTTAAACTTTTGGCAGATAACATGTATGCTCAGCCAGGCTCTGCGGTTATTGTTCAAGTGGAAGCCAGATCAGTTCACATGTTGACAGGCATGCAACTTGAAAACATTGCACAACAGGCAACACAAAGAGATTGGAGAAGTTTACGAAACTTCAAGTAGACTTCACAACCCTTCACAACTGACTATTCACAGACAAAGATATGGACCTTCCTCATCTTACTACGGGGAGTGTGCCTCCCCCCTTCTCTCACACATGAGATACTTTCTGTGACTCTCTTGCTTGCTTGATGCTATACAACCACTTGATGATTCGGGCATTTCTCTCGATTGCAGAAATGCCATATGGCACACGGTCATTGGCACTGTCGTCATTTCTAAGGTCGCTGTTGCTGTCCTGAGACTGTTCACAGTCTGAGCTGATCATGCTTGCACTGCGAAAGTTGAGGGATATTATATCGGAGTTAGCCCTTGCAAAGTTTTCCATCCCAAGGTTTTCAAGCTCTTCGGGATCCAAGCCACAGTAGTTAAAGAATCTCTCCACATCTGCATCCACACGAAAGTATCTGTCACTTAAGTCTGATTTGGACCGTTGCAGGGAAGGTCTCCGGCTGACGCCACAACTGGACTCTACTGTGTCAATTTCGGGAGATTTCATTGTGGCAATGGCAGCGACCTTGGGTTTGGGGGGCAGCGGTGGTGCTGAACTACTGCAAGGTATTGCTTTTAAAGGTTTCACGCTACTCACTTTCCGAATGTCCGAGGAGCTATGGGAAACATGCAGGAAGGACTCTGCTGAGTGTTCAAGCAGCCTTCTGCTAACATTTGAGTTGCTCTCCTGGGGGCTGCTGCGGCCTTGGGTGGGGTAAACCTTTAGGGATTCTGCAAACGAGTGTCGGTTTAGTTCCGTGGAATCCGACCTGTGGGGTGGCCAGTTTCTGGCACTGTGTTTGTGACCTGAACCTGAGCTGGAGCCTTCAGAACTATTAATAATGTTTTTCAGTATCTCAAGTTTTAAGTTCTCCCTTTGCACACCACTCTCAGTCTTTGCACTGTTGTTAAACACTTTCAGGGTAGGGCTGCCCAAGGCTCGCTTTGCAGCAGGGCAGACAGGTGGCTTCGCAAGCACAGCTGGTTTCACAGGCTCCTGTTTGGCATTGATGACCTCTTGGCTCTTGACATATTTTGCCTTATCAGCTTCTAATCTTTCCACCGCACTCAGTCTTTTGGGATTAGGCTCTGCTTGCCTGCGGAAATAGTCTGGTCCTTTGTTCAAGATGCGGAGTGGAACGGCCGATGTGAACGTAACAGCCGGACTGACAGGTTTCACCATGCTACCTGTCTGTAGTGTCTCTGTAGGCATGTTGGGTGGTCTTTCCCCCGCAGCCGTTTTGGATTCTTTTCTGGGCTCTTCTGAACGGACTTTGTAGAAACATATACATTAAGCACAAGGAATAGTGGATGAATCTTTGGAATCTGGCGTTAGCAGTGCCTCATCTCACAGAGTTCATTAAATGCTACTGTGTTTCTCTCCTCCCTTCCTTTAAAGGCAGGCTTGTGTGCAAAGGGCCACCAGGCACAAGTCCGTTTAAATATGCTCTGCTGATTCCTTTCTTCTCACTAAAGGATGTGAGAGTCTCTCTTCCGTGGTCTTTGTGCTCAAGACAGGCAGGGATCTGAAAAACAAAATAACCAACCACGGGTTAGGATCAGTGCGTGACATCATAGCTATAGCAACAGAGAAACTCTGTAGACTCCTTTAGTCACTGGCTGAATTGCAGCTCCAGGCAGTGCAGTCAAAGCAAGCTGTCTCATCGGAAGCATTCATACCATCACACCTTTGGATAGCGTGCATCAGTTACAAATGATGAAAAATTTGGATTAATGGATGAATGCACGTATGCATCTGAGCCGGCATCTAATTTAATCAATTCTACACAGACAGGCTGAAGGAAACAGCAGCTCAATCAAAACTAAGCAACTATTCCAGCTGTTTTTCCAGAAGTGAGGAGCCTCCTCTGGGCTGTGTTGAACAAAGGCGCTGTGTAGAAAGAAACATGGGCACTGGAGTCCAAGTGCTAGGAGTGGCATCTTATCTCAACTTTCTAAATGCCACTCTGTTTCTGAGAGAAATCTTACTTTGGTCTGAATTGCACTTTCCATTGTCTGTAATCCATTCTTTTTCAATGGAAAGAATGATCCTAATTTCTGGATCACGCAGGAAATAATCACTTCCTTTTCAAGTCTCTCAAAAGCAGAAAGAATGGGTCAGGGGTTTAGACAAGAGGGACAGATAGAGAGCATTAAAGCCTCTCCTTGTTATCCACACACATCCATTGTAAGACATTCTATCTCAGCATCTCAGCTCTGAGCATTTTCTGTGACTGTCCTCCGTCCCTGGAATGCTCTGAATCCTGGCTTCCCTCAAGCCCCAGCTAAAATCCCATCTCCGAGAGGAAGCCTTTCCCAACCCCTCTTAATTCTAGTGCTTTCCTTCTTTTATTTTTTTCTCTTTATGCTGAATAGAGTTTGTATATATTTATTTGCTTGTTGTCTCTTAATTCTAGTGATTTCCTTCTTTTATTTTTTTATTTATGCTGAATAGTGCTTGTTTGTATATATTTATTTGCTTGTTGTCTCACAATTACGTTGTGAGCTCCTTGAAGGTAGAGACTGTCTTTTGTCTCTTTTTTGTATTCTCAGCACTCAGTACAGTGTCTGTCACATAGCAGGCATTTAATAGTAGTAGTAAAAAAAAATAGTATAGTAGAAGTACAGTGCCTGTCACATAGTAGGCACTTTCACATACAGGTGAGAGGCAGTATTTAGGATAAAGAGCTGGCTATGGAGTCCGGAAGACCTGGATTCAAATTCTGTCTCTGATACACACTGGTATTGGTATGACCTTAAACTTCCAATGGCCAAAGTAAATATCAATTTATAGGAGTTGGTAATCTATATTAGTGGGGGGAAATTTTACATAGGAAATTCCCTAAAGTGATGAAATCAATCAAGGGATGTTTATTAAGTTTCTACTATTTCCCAGGCACTGAAGCTAAATTTTGGGAGTACAAAGACAACATCATGATAGTTCCTGCCCTCAAGAAGCTTACAAGTTTCAAGACACTGTATAATTTCAATACAATTTCTCCATGGAATTTTTAGATTTTCAATGAAATCACCTGTCCAAATACCTTCACTTGCCTAATATAAAACCAATCTTTCCCCTCGTAAAGCAAGACTATACAGTATAGTCTTAAAAGAGTTAGTCTATCAAATAATATAAACTTTTCTTTAAATATTATTTGGACAAGAAATCTAGACTGATTTAAACATCAGAAATAAGGAGAAACATTTTCCTACTTGGAATAACTGCAAATATATGGACCAAATCTTTCCTTATTAATGGAGTACGAGTTCTTACTTCCTCAGTCCTTTCCTCAGTACCTGGAACTTCTCACCTTGGAACATCCCTTTCCGTGAGGGCCCCCTTCTCTTATTTGTATGTTCCTGTGGGGGGGCCTCGGCTGGTCATGCCTCATTTCTCTCCCAGCTGAGTTTCTGACTCTATGGACTTTGCCTTGAATCCCCTGTATGGGTACCTTCATACCTTCTCCCTTCCCTTCAGCTCCAGTATTGTCTTCTCTCTTTAGAATATAAGCATTTTGAAGGCAGGGATTGTCTTTCTTTTCGCTTGTATTTGTATCTACCATGCTTCACATAGTGCCACATTATTACTTGCTTAACACCTAGCTAAAAACAGCAGTTTCTTTATATACTTAAATTCCTCAATTCCCTACATTATCAGTATCATAATCTTAAAATGTCAATCAAGTATGCTTTATACTGTTTAAAACTTGGGTAGTGTTGAACAGTATCTACTTATAGGAATAACAAGTAGCTTCCTGAATAATTTAATATTAAAAACAACAACAACCCCACGACTATACTTGCCAATATATAGCAAACAACATCCCACCATAAGATTGCTATGAAAGTCATGTTAACATTCAACTTAATACACAATGCCCTGAAATCTAACTTTTTCAGCTCGATGACTTCATTACCTATTACTTGGATCGGAGAACACATGAAAAAAAAAATCTGTATTCCAAAGCAATTGGTTAATGGACTTCTTAATTTTTATTGCTGTTTTTCAGTTATCTGTGTTGCCCCTTTTTTCACTTCTCATTTTGATTTTCAGTGAAATAAAAACAATTGCTTTGGCCAAAAGAAAAGAAAAAAAAAAAAAACGCCAAACCTACACTCACTCTCCCTCTCCCCCAACCCCTCCCTAGAGTTCTCTAGACCTAGGTTACTTTGATCTTAAATTTTCCCAAGATACAGAATCAGAGCATTTTATCATCTTCCTAAGAAAGTTGATTGCCATCACCTTCATGTAGAGTTATAATTAGGGAAACTAAAATTTAGAAGATTGAGGCACTGAACAAAAATGTCAAGTAATTATTTACCTACTCAAGTAAATACAGTGATATTCACATAAAAACGCTCCATTTCCATAGTAAGGAAAGAAATAAAGTGCATATAACTAGTAACAAAATTAGAAACAACTGATTTCTCTCCTTGAAGTCTTCTGAAATACATTCTCTAAATACAAACCATCAATTTTGCTTTGATGATAAACTAGACACGATTTCAGTAATCTGCTCAGGGGCCTGCCATACTAAAAACATTTTCTTATTCAGGGTCTAAGGAGCCCCAAGGCAACTTCTGCATAAATGATTTTCCCTGAATTTGCAATTTCACATTGACATTTCAATTCTGTTTAAAAAGAAACCTCTTCTCATTAAGCTCAGAATGTTGTTTGTTTGAACAAATCTGCAATGAAACTTAGAAGGCAAAAAGAAATTCTCCTCTTGAGAGTCAGCCACCAAGTTGCTGGAAAGTTTCACCTGGAAAAGTTGTCCCCCATCTTAAAATGTCATGACTATGAAGAGATTCCAACTTTCTCAGGGAAAAAAAAAATGATGGAAACAGTGGGCTACTGTGAGAGTAGAAGACCATCTTTACTTACATACCATACCAGAAAGGGAGGCACAAACCTGAGTACAGAAAGACATAGAAAGATGGAGTGCTGAACAATGTGGCAATTCTTTTACCCAACCATTTGGTACTATCTAGGGATAAGTCAGTCTCTAGATAGGGTGGTATTGCTAACCCCATTGACTACACTGGTGCTCTCCAATTAGCCTGCTTTGAGGAGAGAATATTAAAATCCATTGAAATCTATCAGCATTCACTCTAGTTTTACTTGATGGTCATTGTGACATGGTGGGATGGAAAAAATTCTTCACTCTACAGCCAACCTAGTGATGATTCTCTCTCCAGATTTAGTTGGGCTGGTCTTTGGACAACAGATAGGCAGGCTACAGCATTTGTACTAGAAGTCTTGCAAGTCTGGACCAATCTGCCAGAACTTACTCTCCAAATGGAATATTCTATGACAATCTAGAGTTTCCTCCTATATTTAAAAAAAAATAAAAATCTCAAAGAAAAAGCCTATCACTAATGATTTTACTTTTTTCTTCTCTAGTTCTGGTTATTTCATTGTCCTAACCAGAACAATATTTGGATTACAAAATAGTATAGCCTTCAACTTTAGAACAATAATGTTTTGTCTGAACACTCATTTCTCAAATGCCTCTCCTTTCAAGGGTAACATTTACCACTTACACAGCTCACAGAAATGTTATAAGGATTAATAATAACATATCCAGAAAGAGACTGGAATTCTGCTGTTGCAGAGAAAAGTAGTTTTTCCTCCCTTATTTTGTTATTAATAGTTGTTCTCTTTCTCTGGATTAGACTGCATTTGGTAAGGGAGCATAAAAGGTACAGATGAGAAGAGTGAGACAGAAGAAAAGCATGCCAAAGGATTATGCAATAGCCTGGGGGGAATCCCCAAAGCCTGGCCTATTTAATGCTTTTAGGAACAATTTAATCAACAAAATTAGAATGCTTACTATGTCCAGTACAGTGTTAGGTGCTGGAGATAATTAAACAAAACGGTGAGAATCCCTAAATCTTCAAGAGTTTATATTGTACTGAGGAGACAGAACATAAACATGGAAGAGCTAGGAGCCATGGGAGGCCATTGCAGAGAGGTAGATCAAAGCTTAATGTTCAAAACTGTATCGGGAGATGGTGGTCACCTCACTGGGAAGTATTCAAGCAAAGGCTGGATGACCACTTGTTGGTCTGTTTTGTTATGGGCTGGATGAGATGTCCCCTGAGCTGTGGCATTTTAATCTTCTTATCTCTATAACCTAGCACCATGTCTTATCCACAGACAGCCTAGATATATGTTTATTGAATTGCAAGGAATTCTACTTGACTCCAGAGGGGAGAAAAGCAGATGAAAATAAAATGAAACAAAACAAACCCAAACAATTACAAAGCACAATGTTCTCCCATTGGAAGTAGGCAGAACTACTAACTCCCCATTATTGGAAGTCTTCAAGCAAAGGTTGAATACTTGTAAATATTTCTTCTCAGGTCTGAGTTAAGTTAGATGATCTCTACTTCCCAGTCTCCTCCAGCCATGCCTTCGGTACGCATCTCCACTCATCATCCGAGAATGGATTCCATACCTGGAGCAACCCCTTGGATTTTGAGAAACCAGTTTTGACTTCATCTTGATCAGTTTCAGGCCTCT